CCAAGCCGCGAAGAATCTGCCTAACGACTATGCACGTGAACTTCGCAGGCAGGCACTCATGTTCAAGGAGAACAAAGAGCGGGAGAAGGCCGAAAGTAAAAAAAGCGGGAAACAAGTTGCCCAGCTCGGGGAACAAAGTAAACAATCGATTGCCCCACTTATAGTGGAAGCCTTCTGTCCTGATGCCCCCGAGATCATACAAGCTGCGGCAGCACAGGGATTGACTGTAACGAGTGCCAGAGAACAAGCGGCCAACTTAGGTATTACTCTTCGTGAACTGTTAGGCCTTGATGAGGCGCCAGTGAAGGAGGTAGTAATTACATATGTCAAGAATGGGCCTCTCGTCGAGCCTGCGGAGGAAAAGGATCTACCTCCACAAATGAAAGGTCTGCTGAAATGGTACAAGGGTTACATAAAAAATAAAAACGCCAAAGAATATATTTATGCGGAAGTTAGACATGAGCATCACTTCAAACATTACTATGTACAAATTGAACTGAGTGAATTGTTCCAGCTTTTCAATCTGCGCGAGCTCGATAAATCTATCATCAGTTGCTACGTTCTGTAAGTGATTTATTAATTTCTACCCCATCTCGTTCATATTGCCTGCATTATATATATGTCCTAACTATATTGTTGTGTCCGCTATTATACATGCAGAATGAAGATTAAGGAATGCAGAGTAAGGAACATCCATGATGTTGGGTTCATTGACCCACACATCGTTAATGGACATGTGTTGGAGCGTTACCCCGCCGACGTGGAGGCAAACCTGCGGCAGTTTCTTACAAAGCAGGAACTCAAAAGTGATATTCTATTTCCTTACCATTTTGAGTGAGTGTTTCTGTCTTCAGCACATTCTCTTTTGTTTACTCCATGCATGGTATGTGGCCGGCTAATCGATGAGTTATGCATGACGTACTGTGCATGTATCGTGTCCGCAGGTTCCACTGGATTCTGCTAGTAATTAAAGTTAACACCTCAGAATGTCTCGTCCACGACTCTGTGAATATGGATCCAAAGCTTTGGGGCGGCATGAGAAGAATGCTGCAGAAGTAATTATTTTCATTCATTTGCGCTCTATATCGATCGGCCTATTTCGTTCATTTCCTAATATCAAGTAACTAATTAATAACTCTCTTGTTCATTTAATTTTCTTTGCCTCGTAGGGTTTGGAGACGGTTCGTAGATACAAAGGTCGGTGAATTCAAAAAAGAGCTAGAATTCAAAATGTTAAAGGCTAAGAATGTTGGGGATATTCAGCCACCGGAGACCAATCTATGTGGATACTATGTCTGTGAGATGATCCGGAGATACACCTCTGAGCGGGTTCCGAGTGATACCAATGCTAAGAGGAATAACCTCCGGTGGATGCTTAGTCCAGAAGCTCGCTTCCGACCACTTCAAGAGGAACTAGCTGGATGGTTCAGCAGGGAAGTCCTCCATCCTAAAGGAGAACACTATTACGAGGACGTAGAACTTTATATGCATTAAATCATGTATGGAAACTTGTTCAAAATTGTATATGGTCATCCGATGATATTGAATATATATTGTATATTCCTCTTGAATTCTTTTTGGTTCTAATTTCAAATTTATTTGAAATTGTACATTCATATGCATGTATGTAGTACCGTAGAATATATGAAACTCCTTCAAAATTAAAATAAAGCACAAAAGAAATAAAACAATACAAATTAAACAGAAAACAGGTTTAAGGGGGGAGGTTTAGGGGGGGGGGCTAAAACCCTAAACCTGCGGCGGCCTTTAGTCGCGGTTGGCCAGAAGAACCGCGACTAAAGGTCCTCCGCCCCGACGGCCACCTGGCGCCCACGTGGACGGGCCTTTAGTCGCGGTTCTTAAGCAACCGCGACTAAAGGGGGGGGCCTTTAGTCGCGCCCGGTCGGTCGCGGTTGCGCAACCTCGACTAATGGCAGTTGCGAACCGCGACCAAAGGCCTTTTTTCCACCAGTGTTAGGAGCATACACACAAACATGAGTTGTTCTATACTATATGTAGATTTATCCTCTTATGATAACAAAGTGCATGGAGAACCCCAATTTTTTGTGTCTGTTGAATTGAATTGTTGTCATGCGCAAAAGAAGAAGAAGAAGAATTGGCATCAAGATAGCTAGTCCATGACTGGATTAGCTCAGGGATAAACTAGTGTCCTCACCAGGAGTGGTAGTTAATTGCCCAGGTCTAACAGGCTCATGACAAGAGCATTTCCCCCTGATTGGACGCGGGAGCACCTTTTGTCCCTTGCAGCCCCCACTCACGTTTAGACAAAGCATAGCCAAGATTCCATCCCTCCTCCTCTCCTCCTCGACGGCGACGTCGCATGCAGGAAAGGTTACTACTACCAAAGCTAGCGCGAGCGGGTCGCTGGCCGGGTCGGTCGTGCTGCCGCTCTATTTCTGCTAACCATCGCTCTTGAAGAAAAAGAAAAATCTAGCTCGGCTGGGGACGGAGGTTGGCCTCACAGCCGATCCGAAAGCATCTGCCGCGGTTGCGATCGGCCGTGTCGTGTCGCTGAAAGAAGGGAAGGGAAGGGAAATGGAATTCATTTTTCAGACGGCGACTGGAAATATAGCAGGGCGGCAAGTGGAACATGTGCTAGCTCAAACGTGCGTATCAGAAATCCAGGCTAGCGAGGAGGAGGGCCAAGCGCAGTGATTCGTGTGCATGAAAATTGAAGCGCGGCTGGGCTGAGACGGACGTCGATTGGTATGGCTGTGGTGGGTGATAAAGCGATCTCTTGATTACGTGATGTATCGTTGGTGTCGTTGAGACGAGATGAGATGATGATGAGACGAGGCGACCGGAGCGGCAAGAGGAGAAAAACTTGCTTGCTCTCGCCTGCATCCTCAGGCTGTCCTGTTTCCAAGTCGTAGTCCCAGCAGTGTGGTTTTGGCGCCGCGCTCGCTGTCCGCCTGGCGTGCGGTGGCGACGCAACGCAGGCAGGATCACCATCCCGTGGACGCAACCGCGCGCGCCAATAGTCGCGGCGGCGCGTCGTGTTCGCGTCGGCGATCAGCTCGGTGGGCATCCAGAGAAGGCGGGCTCTGCGTCGATCAACCTGGTGAAAGACTGGGCGCTGGTGATGTGCGAGCGAGCGGACCGGCGAGCAAGCAGTGCGTATGGAACGGGCGCATCTACCACTAGTCCATCGGTGTTTTCAGAGTGAATTGTAAAAAACATCGAACACTTCAGGCAAGATTTGCACAAACCACACATTTACGAAATTATGCCAAAAAGCACTAATTTTTTTATAACTTTTTGCAAAAAACACTGATTGTTTGTTTGGACTGTTTTAAGTACGTTTATGACATGGGGTCTCGCTTTTGCTGATGTGGCGTAACGGTTCGCAGGCGACGCTGTTAGACAGACGGTTTTACACCAACACCCTTTTTGGAAAAATGAAAAAGCAATCGGGTCCTTGGCCCGGAAAATATAAGCAATCGGGTCCTTTTCCTGTCTCATCTCTCTCTCTGCCCATGAGCTCTATCCCGCCACGCCATGGACGCCAAGGTCGAGCCGCCGTGTTCTTCGCCCGGATCCAGCGAACCAAGTCGTTGCCAGAGCCCTCCACACCGGATTTGGACCCAAGCGCCTCGCCGCGCCCATTCCCGGACCTCGCCGCCTCGCCAAGTCCTTGCAGCGGCCGTGCCTCACGCCGGAGCTCTGCTTCCACCTGCACCATTGATGCGTCCACTGCGTTGACCCCATGTCCGACCTCTGCATCGCGCGCGTTGACCCTGGTCCTCGGTTCGATCTGGAGGTAGCAGCCAACCGCATCCATCGACCCCAGCTGCTCGAGTTCGAGCACGCATCCTGCCAGCACTGGGCGGGGGCGGCGGAGCCCGATGTGGCCATGTGGGGCACGACACTGGGCGGCGAGAAAGCTCGCCGGACGCGAGCAGCGGCGGCGGCAGCGTACGGGAGCAGCAGCAGCCGCGCCAGACTTGCGTGGGCACTCGCAGCCGCGCCGGCCGCGAGTAGCAGCAGTCACACCGGCCGCTCGTGGTGGCGAGCAGCAGCAGCCGCGCCGGCGGCCAGGCGGCGAAGCTCCAGGTGAGCTGTTCGGAGTGGGGCATGGCGGAGCTCATGGCTCGGCTGGCGCAGGGGAGCTGCTGCTGGCTTGCACGCCGGCGAGCTCGAGCTCCATTGGCTGGCGCAGGGGAGGCCCAGCTGACACAGTCAACGGTGGGAGAGGAGATGGAAACTTACCGTTGGCTCTTTTCTTAAAAAGGAGGGAGCTTTTGGTAAATATATATCTTTAACGACGTCTAGTGTGAACAGTTACGCCACGTCATCATTTATGGGACCCTCGTGTCATAAACGTACTTAAAACGGTCCAAACGAGCAACCAGTGTTTATTGAGAAAAATTATGAAAAAAATTAATGCTTTTTGGCACAATTTCGTAAATGTGTGCTTCCTGCAAATCTTGCCTGAAGTGTCGATGTTTTTTACAATTCACTCGTCCATGTTCCGTGTCCCCCAATCCGACGCCCGCACGCACCTACGTATTCTGGCATTCTGCTGCATCGGCCATGTTCCGTGTCCCCCAATCCGACGCCCGCACGCACCTACGTAGGGACCGTCTCCCCCTTCCTCCCCCGGTCCAGCCGCGTATCGCATCGCTGGCCGCACCCAGCCCCGGACGCCGCAGTCGCTGCCCCCAGGGCCGGCCCTAGCATCTCGGAGGCCCTAGTGCGAAGATGGTACAATGGGCCCTACAGTCACACCTTACGTCTCCATGTTCGCTTCGCTGATGCACGTCGCAGCCGCAAGTCCGTTCAAACTATCCATATGACACAACAGTAATTTTAAACAAATATTTCATGATCTATCTAGAAATAGCAATTTGAAATTCGAACAAAAACACAAACACCTTCCATACAAGAACAGTAGAGAACTGTCACAAGATAAACCCCAGCAACATCTAATCGCCATGTGGTAATGTGGTGATGGTCGATCATCTTTAACATGAAACAATTACTTGTGTGAGAATTTCATGCAAGAGAATCGTCACATAATTCGCAATAAACAAGAAAAGAAGGACAATCCATAGGATGAACAATTTACCTGTGGACCGGTGCTGGCGTCAACGCCTTAGCGGCAAGCCGAATGTGGTGCATCTTCAGCTCGTCGCCGGTGCCAAGGAGGTCACCACGAGGGCCTTGTCGCCGTGGGTACTTACAGGAGAACATATCTACTATTCGATCTACTACTAGTATAAAACTCACTGGAAAATAAATTAAAGAGATGATATAACTGAAAATCTATTCATGAGCGTCGCTTGGGGCCCAGCTCCTGGGAACTTGGTGCAATTAATTGGGAGAGGGAGAAGATTGGACGGGAAGAAGAACGAACCGGTGGCGCTGTCTCACACAAAACGAAGCAATTAGGATTAATTCTCATGGCTGGCTCCATCGTCTTTATTGGGCTGCGAATGCTACCTTATTTTATTTTTTCCTTCAAATGTATCAATACATGTGCACAGAGAGTATGGTGGGCCCCTGGACATGTTGGGCCCTAGGCGGCTGCACTCCTCGCCATGGCTTAGGGCCGGCCCTGCCCCATGAGCCCATCAACCGGGCCGTGGCCGCGGGTGATGCCTGACGCGGACGGGATGGCTTGAGCAGTGGTTTCGATCCTTCGCCACCGCACGCGTGGTCTGCCTCTCGCAACTTCTTCACGCACTGTTCTACCTTCCCTGCTACGAAATCTGTATCGTCGTCGCGTCGGGCCCTTCGTTCTTTCCAACGGCTGACCTACCGCCGTGTGTTGTTCTCTTCAACTTCTACTAGTTCCACTGCTGCTGCTGATAACGTCCAAACTAGCATATGACGTTTCGCTACAGCTTGTTTGTTGTCTGTATCCTTTGGCAATGTCCACCCCAGTCCCCGTTCGTGAACGTTTCGCTTCCTGTATGCAGTCATGTCACTCCTTAGCACGATCAATCATCAATATAAGATGTATCTGCGGTGGTTTTGACCTATTTAAGGCAGTCTTTTCTAAGGTTTATTTATATATATTCTTTTTATGGAGCCGGAGGCAGCTTTGCTTCGACAAATTTGCATGCCTATCTTCGTCTCTATTAGTAGGCTAGGCCCGTCGTCAGGCTCCACCGGCCTTCCTAACCACTCCCTCCATAGTGCATTTACGTTTTTCGAGATTCAACTTTGATCATAAATTAGATCAATACTTTCTCCGTTTTAAAATAGACGATTCAACTTTGTACTAATGGAGGGAGTAGTACATAAAGCATTTTACTGAAAAAGTATACATTTGAAAACTTCTTTAGAATGCTATTTCAAAGGTATCTGTCATGCTCCCGCCACAGTCGCCCATGCTGGCTAAATTTATGATCAAAGAAATCTCGAAAAACATGGATGCATTATATTATAGAATGAAGAGAGTGTCACCTTATCCGTAAAAATACTCCACAGGTGAGTACTAATTATTCTGCATCTCTGAGAAATCCAGTCGAATCGCATATTGGACAAGAGATCATAGTTAAATTCGAGCACTTTAGTAAACTGCTAGTAGCACCGTCATCGTGCGTGGTAGGGGTTGGATCAAGCAGTAGCGATCAATTCTTTCACAGTAGTATAGAGCTAGGCAATTGTTTCATTCGTCCACGGGCGTTCAACCAACCCAATAGACATCCACGATTGCTCGGGAGGTTAAATTACTTCGGGTGAGAAAATGACTGCCTCGCCGCATACCGTATTACTCTATTTCGCTGTATACTTTCACTTAGTACCATGTATCTACTGCCCGTTGTTCTACTGATGCGTAGCCTGGCCACCTTCCATGAGAGAGCCTCGCTCTCACGGTCCACGTGGGCCGTGGCAGACCTAGCATTCTGGTTAATATCCTACTACCAGATAGGTATATCTATATGGCGACATTCGTGGTTCCTCCGACAAGCTGTATATATTAGCACATGAAAACAACCGCATTTGGCAGTACGAGCAAGAGGTGCGCGTGCTCGGCCGTGTCGGCCCCGCTCGGCCGTGTCGTGTCGTCTGGCCGCACGCGATCGATCGCCGAGGTGCGCGTGCGCGTGCGATCATCCTCGGCGCCCGCACGTGCGTGTAACGCCGTAACTGGTGTGGCAAACGGGACAGGCGCGGAGCGGAGGGCAGCGCCGTAATTCGTCGGAGGAGGAGACGGCGGCCCGGTCGCCTGTTAGGCTGTCACGGACGTCTTGTCTTACGTGCACCCACCTGAGGGCGGCACCATGGACCGCCGGATGCTTGCGCGCGCGCCCACCTGATCTTCTGCGCGTCGCCTTTCTTCCCTCGCTTTTATCTCCCTCTGCCAGTTGCCTGCCTGGCTTAATTTTCTTCTTCGCTGCCGGGATGATGCTGTTATCCGGCGAGGGCTAAATTTCGTGTTTTGACATTTTTCTGAAACTTGTTCGAGATCTAATCATAGTTCGTCAAAATTTCGGGATTTGATCTTTTTCCTATCTTAAGGGTTCATGGCGACAACCTACAGTCAAGGTCCCTGACGGTAGGATTGCATGTCCTGCCATAAATTTTTTTCTAAGTATTAGAACACAATGCATGCTCGCATCTATCGCCGACCACCTTGGCGGTAGGGTTGTACAGGCTACCGTCAGACTGTTTAGCAGTGCGGAAATTTACTGTCGTCAGATCTTTGGCGGTAGGCAGTTACACTCTATAACCATGGACCCTACCAGTACAGAAGGTCAGATCCTGAAAATTTTACCAACTAGGGTCAGATCTCGAACAAGTTTCAGAAAAATGTGAAAACACAAAATTTTGGCTCCGGCTAGAGAGAGGGGGGTCAGCATTGGGCACGGTGCCAAAGGCCCTTTGCCGATAAAGCTCGCTCGCGCGCGCTGCTCCACCACCAACACCACAATCGAGTGGCGGCATCGCTGCGGGAAGCCTAGCACTTTCGCCTCTACTAGACTGCTCAGCAGTGCAGCGGTCGCCCGAGGTCTACGGTTCCAAATTTTACTCGACCACGATAGCCGAGCAGAGCCGAGCCCCCTTGGTCGACGACGATTCTCCCGGCGGCGTAGTGCGTGCACGCGCAATACGGGGCCGGATCCAGATATTCCGTGTGGCCAGCGCGGGGAAGCACGACGGGCGGTGGGCCGCAAGGAATGGTATTCACCCTCTCCGCGGTCAGTGGACCACCGGGAAAGGCGACGCAAATCCCAAAGCGATTCTACTGCAGGGGAGGGGGAGAAAGCGGCTTGGCGTCGCTGCGTACGTGTTCGTCACTCCTTTCCGTGTACCCCCACCCCCACCCAGGAAAAGGCCGGGATTTTGTTTTCTCGTCCCAAAGCCACACTCCACGTCCTGCGCGGTTGATATTTTTCCTTCTTCATTCAGTCTCTCCGATGCTCGGCAACAGAAAGAAGTGCACCCGGAAAGATCTACGATCGAATAAATTTACGCGCAGCGTGGTTGTTGAGGCGTAGGCATCTCGCCACCATCCCTAAGATGAACCTCGTGACCCATTACGTACTTAGCACCATGAATGGACAAGGATGCTCTAGCTCTCCACGCTATCTTGGAAGATCGGATAGAATCATGACTGATTCTTTCATCTTTTAACTTCTACTTAGCGCCATGAATGGACAAGGTTACTCTAACTCTCCACGCTGTCTTAGAAGATCGGATAAGACCATATAACTAACTCTTCCATCTTGTAACTTCTACTTAGCACTATGGATGGAACATCAGATAAACAAAACATCTTGTAACGTCTACTTAGCACCATGAATTAATGGACGTGGATGCTCCAAGAGC